GATCAAAGCCCCTCCCGGCTTCAAAGCCCCCCTGGGGCGGCGGCGGGCTGGGAAGCCGCTGAGTCAGGGCTCCGGGCCCCTCTCTTTAAGCCGAGCCCCTGCGCTCTAACCTCACTTCTGGGTTCCTCCTCGCCCTGTTCGCACCCACCCACTCAGCTCCTACGGCTGTCACCGTGCCCTTTCCTCAGACACCTTCATGTTCTCCCCTCCGAGGGTGGGGAAGATCCGATGAACACTTTCAGGATCAGACCTGGCTGCCTGGGGGATTCCCTGCCCCACCTTCTCGGCTGGCAAATTCCGGGGGTGGGGGTGGGGGTGGTCTGGGTCATGTTCTTACTCACCCCAGCTCTAGGCCTACGGAGAAAGGGGGCCTGTATGCTGACTGGGGCTGTGGGGTGCAGGGAAGTGGCAAATGACTCCTGGGTGTCCCTGGACAGACCTCACCACATTGTAGCCCCTCTTCTAAAGCGAGGGTCTCCCTGTATGATTTTGGAAAACCCTTACTTGGAGGTGCTTAGAAACAGTGTTCTCTAGAAACTGGGATCCTGGTACTGTTTCTAGAACCCTCTGAGTCCTTTTTCTGTGAGTTAAAGGGGCAAGGAATGACCTTGAGGGCACCCTTGGATCGGACCCAGACTCAGGCTGAGGGAATGGGAAGCAGATTCGAGTGTGGGGCAGAAGGCTCCTGGCGAGAGGTTGGAGACCTGGGCCAGCAGGAGGCTGGCCTTAGGAACATCACCGTCTTCCTTCGGCTTCTCTCTTTCTTTCCCCAGCACCCCCCTCTTTCCACCTGCACCCCAAAGGCTTTCTTCCCCTCCAGGGGAGGTTGTCTTCACCCCGTGCTTTAACTCCTCCAGGGACAGAGAACTTACAACTTCAGGACGCTCTTTCTCCAGTGAAAGCTTTGACAGATAACAAATAGAAATCTCGTGGGTAGAGCTGTGGCCTCCACCCTGTCCTCCGCGGTGTATGGGAATCATGCCCTGAGTGAGGGAAGCCTTCAAGAGCCCAGGGCTTCTTCCCTAAAATCCCCTGTCCCTGCATCAAGGATGCCAGGGGTGTACCCGGAGTTCTGCCCTGGGAGTCTGAATGTGTCGTCCACAGGCGACCAGTGTTTAAAAAATGCTTTGTGGCTTATTCCTCTGAACTGAGACATTTATTTATCCTTGCACTAGATCTTTAATAATTGGATATTTCTTGAGGGAGAACTCATCTGCTCAAAGCCATAACTTATTTTTTTTATTATTTATATTCAGGCAAGAAGAGGGTGATGTGTGAAGTGGTGTGTGGTAGTTTTTAACAGCTTGTAGGATGTGGGGGGGGGGGCGGGTTAGAGATGGCACAGGCAACATCTCAAAACTGCAGGTAAGGAGTGAAATGAGGGAGCAGGCTCCCAAGAATTGTGGGTGAAGGGTGGTATGGACTTCTGGTCTACCTGGGGAAATGGTAGACCAGTGAGTCACCTGACATGGATGCACTGGCTGCCTGGTTGTAAACTGGGTGTTGTCATCAGGCACTCTCCATGTTGCAGGGCACTGAGGAGGGAGGGAGCATAGATGCAAACGGGCAGCTCAAGGCCTCACCAAGAGGGACTCTCCAGCCACACCAGCTGCCATCTCTACCCGCTGTAGCTCCCTGGGCTCCACCCATCAAAAGCACATGCTTAGTCAGTCCTCCAGCAGCCCATGTGGTTTCAGGCCCCTGTGGCTCTTCTGATCCCTCTGCCTGATTGTCTGCTAGACTTAGAGTCCTGCCTCCCCGTGTACCTCTCTCCACCCTCTCCAGAGTGAGGAGTAACGAAATGACCCATACAGACTGCCAGACCTATGCTGGCACGGCCCATTTTCAGGCATCGATAGCTATCACAATGTTTATGTTCTTTTGAGCCGGTCCCACTCCCATGCACTTAACGTTCTTACTTGGTATTTTAACTAACTGGTTACAAGCTGCATAGCTTACATGTCCGACTAGCCTGTGTGTCCCTGGAGGACATGAAATATTAGTCATCTGTGATTTTCTGGAGCCTAGCACAGTACCTGCTTCATTCATTCACTCAGTCATTCACTCAGTAGGTATTTATTGAGGATCTTCTAATGCTGGGCACTGTTCCAAAATTGGGGATATTTTGGTGAACAAAACAAACTCTGCCTTCTTGGAGCTGATAATTTAGTGAGGAAGAGACAGATGACAACAATAAACCAATAAATGTGAGCTGGCAGTAAGTACTGTGAAGGAAAGTAAAG